AGAGAAACTGTATTTTGATTTTCTGAATGTCCTGCACATATAATGAATTGACAATAAAAGTTTTTGATCTTGATCTTGATATTTGAGAGATGACTTGCCTGATAACAGCTACAGCTTGGTTCCACTTTCTTCCAGTTGCTACGGTAGAAGCTGTTCAGGAGATACTATATGAGTCATGAGACTCTGTGTGTGACATTTCCAACCTTACTTTGAAGCACTTGAATTCTTCTGTGAGGCTAGACATCAGTAGCTCCAGAAAGCTTTTCCTATACAAAGCTGTGCTAGTGGTACACCTGGGAAGCCCAAGCCATTGCTTGGCAAATGAGCTGATCTCATATATAGAATCTTATATATGTGAGGGGCCACAAAAGCCATGGGACCTGACCAAACTGGAAGCACCAGGGTTTAAATCTACCAGGTAGGAAGAACTTGCCTATAGTCTCCAGGCCTTTGATGGTATATTACCTGATCTGGTCCACTTGGACTGTGTTCCTGAGAGTCACATCATACCAGCAACTGAGACTTTTAATTGGTTTCTCTGCCACTGTTGGTATGGGCTCCTTATTGATTTAAAAATGTTGCTTGGACAGCTTCTCTTGAAATGATTGATATGTTCCTGGACTTGCTTGGCTTTATCTTCAGCTAGGCCCACTTGATGTTATCTTTGAGTTCTTCCAGAGTTGCCTAGTGCAGGCCTTGGTGGTGGTGAGTGTAGTCAAGTTATCCATGTGTACCCTAACTGAAGGCAGCCAAAGACCAATTCTAAGTTATTTCCCTTCTACCACCTACCGTGAAGCCTGAATAATGTCCTCCATAGCCACAGTGAAGACTAATGTAGATACTGTACATCCTGCCGTGATGTCTATTTCTAAACTCTGTCCAGAGAAGGTGGTGGAGCCAAAAGCATTGGAAAGATCCAAGAACATGACATGGAGACCTTTTCCATACTTTTTAACAGCCTGGATTTGATGCCAGACACCCAGAGAAGCCAGGGATCCTTGCCTTTTGCACAGAAGTGTTGTGTTTATTCTTTTCTAGGTAGAGTGTCAGCCTGACTGCCAGGATAATGAAGAAAACCTTCCCCTCAATGATCAACAGGCTGATGTGATGAACAGGTTGATGCCAGCAGAATTCTTTTCCTTTGGGGTTATGATGCCCCCTGACCTCCTCGAGGCTACTGGGATTTCTCGGTTTCCCACACCACCTTCATCCATCTCCACAGAAAGCATAGCAAATCTGGTGCATTTTTGTAAAGCCTGTACAGGACTCCACTGTGTCCAGAAGATGCTTCTGCTTTTGCTTGACGTACAGCTTTTACCTGCTCACTCCACTTAGGACGCCTGACGTCTAGGTGATGTTTAGGGGAAGGTAGTGGAGGCATATCAGGTGAGAATGTGATCTGCTCACCCCATTGGCCATCCAAGTGGACCCCTTGAAGCTCTTTCCTTAATGTTGCCAGTATGCCACTTTTCTCATTTGTGAGCAGCCCTTTCACGAACCTGAATGGGTTCTTGAAGAAGTTAGCTCAGGCCTGTTGCTTCTTCCTATGCATCTTTCTCAGATTCTCTGCTCTCCTCAAGGATGAGAGTCAGTTTGTGATCTCTGCTTGCAGCACATCTATTCCCTCCTCCTCCTCTGTAGCCATGTCAACTTTGGTTTTCCAGGATGATGACATGATGGGGTTTAGCATTATTACTTTATGCTTCTTCTTGCTATGGCTGTGTGACATTCAGCAACATGGGCTAGCATGTTTGAACACAGACACTCCAGTAAATGCATGCAAGCTTAATGGATACTCAAGACATTAACTGTACCAGAGAAGATAAATTCACCCTCTATTAAATGTCCTGTCTGTACACACCAGGCGCGTGTTTTGAAACATCAACCGCTGCAAAGAAATAAACGAGGTGCTCTAAAATGTAGGATAAGGATAATCACCTTTATTGGCCAAGTATGTTACACACAAGGAATTTGTTTCCGGTACAGAACCGATGGCAGCCAACTGCGGCGCCATCTCAACCGATGGCTCTAACCATCAAGGGCAACTAGGGGGTTCAATGTCTTGCCCAAGGAGACTTCGACACGTGGACTGCCAGCACCGAGATTCAAACCTTCAACCTTATGGTTAGGAGACACCTGCTCTACCCACTGCTCCACTGTCGCCTCCCCAAAGCTAATTTCTGAACACCCCTCCAGTAAGGTTTCAATTGTATTTGTGAGATATTGTGTATTTGAGATATTCTTCTTTGAATCATTTGGGGAGCTTGTAGCCGAGCAACGTGCATCAAGCTCTCAAGTGGGATCTTCAAGGATTTGATGTTGTGGTGAAATGCTGAAATGAAATTCAGTTATAGATTGCTTCTGTAGCTGAAGAGGGTCTCAAGAAATCAGGATGCTAAGATGGAATATATGAAAAAGTATCACAACCACACTGCACCCCTTGTTCTGTTAATCATACTGTATGAGTCCCTTACAGATCATTCTCCTTCTGATTTGATAAATGAAACAAGTGACTGAATGAGTCCCTGAATTACTTGTTTGAGTAATTGAGCAGTACTCCATCAGACAACATTAGGTGGTGATAGTGACCTGGCCATCTGAAATAATTGGCACCTAACAACAGACACATGGGATCTGCCTCCACAGGGGTTCCACATCTGACACCAATAGATTAGAACAGCACCACCCCCACCTAATGCCTTATATCAGGGGTGGCCAATTTCAGTCCTCGAGGGCCGCTGTCCTGCTTGTTTTCCAACTATCCCTGCCTGACCTGCTGCTGATTACCTGGCTCAGGTGTGTTCAGCCAGTCAGAAGCTGGAAGATACCATCTTAGATGAAAGTGGAGTGAGGAAAGATAAAGTGAATTGGTATATCACCACAACCAAAATAAAAAAAAGCTCACAGTGGGAACTGGGGGGAGGACCACATCAGTTTTGTCATTATATAGGGGTAACACATACTATGGGGGACTGAATCCAACACAAAAACCTCACCCCCCCCAGCCTTCATTGGAACCAAGAAATTTTATTTATATGTGATTGACAGCTAGGTCAAAAGGCCTTTGGGAAGCCCTCTGGGACTTGAAATTTGTAAAGCAGTATATCATCGGAGCTGCTTATGACTGTAATGAGGAAAGCAAACCAAAAACCAATCTTGGAAAAAGGAGTCACAGCACTGACAAATAGTTTATTAGCTGGTGCAACTGGGATAACTGAAAAGAGAAAATGGCCTAGATATTAACTTACAGTAGCTGATGTTAGCTACATATAGACAGTGAGACTCAGTAGTTTGTAAATCCATTAATTGGTAATTTCTTACACACAGACTCAGAAATGACACTTTGCAGCTACTCTTTGCTTGCAAGCTGGTTATTCTATCACAAACAAGTTCTGTTTTTTAGTCATGATTGAAGCCGCACATTTTACTTTGTTATTTAAAACTGACCTACATCAAACTGACAAAAACAGCATGTTAGAAAGGATTAATGCTAAACTGTCACAATTCATTGCAGGATCCTAATCTTGGTCTCTATTTTTACCCATAATTCTAGTGATGGCTTGCAGTACAGTATTACTTTTAAATTATGGGACATAACAGTTGTGACAGAACTAGTTTTAATTTTGAAGTTGTAACCTTTTAACTTATCACCGGATTGCTCATACCTCTGTTTAAAATGCATGAGCATGGGCTTTTTTTTACAGGCACTGCTTAACTAGTCTTGATGTTCTCACACACAAAACCAAGCACAGACATCTTTGCCATGGATAAATTATGCTTGTCCAGCAACAGAGGAATGCAGAGAAAACAGCTCAAAAAGTGAACTAAAGGTGTGCATGCTCAGGATAAGTTGAGCAAATGGGACATATTTTAAGAACCATATATCTAGTAGCCATCATCAATATGAGCTCTTTTTATCATATTGTTGTTGCCCCTCTTCTAGCTACAGTATTGATTTATCTTAAGTATAGAGGGCTTTCATTTATCAAAAGAGACACTGTAACCCTGTAACAAAAACAGCTCAGTGCCATTTGTTGCTGTTAATCATATATTTTAAAATTATTTTACCCTTTCCCTGGTAATTTCATAACATTTTATAAAGTGGTGTTTGATTCAGTCAGTATCCCTGGTCACAGGTGCTTTAGCTTCCAATTTATACAGTGCATGCAACCTCCTTTCAGGAAACCAAGGCCAGACCTTTTGGCTGCTGCAAAGCACAGCCACAGTTTCAAACTGCTGTTTTCAGCCAAGGTTTCAAAAATAAAGCTAAAGTGATGTATTTCTTTTATTAAAGCTTGAATATTCCAAATTTCACAGCACGTTGACCAGTATCAACCTTATATTTGTTCAATGAATGTTTGAGTTATTTAAGAGCCTTAAAGTAGCCTTTGATATTTTAGAACAGACCATGGCATTTCATCATATGAATTTTGAAGAAAAGATAATGTCCAAGGTGTTTTGGACTTAGCAATAGTAACAGTGGTGTAGTAGTTTTATCCAGCACTTTCACAGTGTGGGATATAGCTACAAGGAAGCTACTAGGAGGCTTTATAATTATAGTATTGTTTTATATTTTTTAAGTTCATGACTTTTTATGATTGTTCCAGATCTCTATTGTTCATTAGTTTTACTTTTTTTTTTTGGCTCTCTGTAGATGTCTTCCCTGTTTATACTGCATTGTTAATCCCACTTGGCTTTATGCACTCTTACATTTATCTAGTGAGATCAAAGAACCAATATGTACACCCTCAGGGAGACAGCTGTATTATTAAAGACAGAGAGCTCACTGAAGGTCTGCTGAGGCAGTCTGCTTGATCGTCTTTGAATTTTGTATTATTTGAACTTATCTTTAGACTCTCACTTTAGAAAAAGATGGTAGAGGTCAGATAACCCAAGACAACTCATTCTTAGAATGACATAATGGAACAGCTGAACATAAATGAAGCATAAATTAAAGTTCAGCTGGACACTCTCCCTTCTTTTTTCTTTCTTTCTTATAGTGTTACGGGATGACTTCAGACAGAACCCACAGGGTGTAGTAGTGGCGGTCGGAGGACCAGCCAGTCTCGAGTGTCAGCCACCACGTGGGCATCCTGAACCAACCACCTTCTGGAGGAAAGATATGGCTCGTCTTGACCTCAAAGATGACAGGATCACCGTGAGTAACTCTTTAGGAAACTCTCCTCTGACATGTACATGACCCTTACTCTAAATCACCCACAGTCGTTACCTACTCACCTGTACCTGTTACAATAGAAAGAATTTTGTGTTGGACTGGTGCATTGTAATAACAAGCTTTTTTTTGTCAGGTACGCGGAGGAAAGCTGACCATCTCTAATACCAAGAAGAGTGATGCAGGGATTTATGTGTGTGTAGCAACTAACATGGTTGGGGAGAGAGAAAGTGAAAAAGCTCAGCTCTCAGTGTTTGGTAAGAAGCCTGACAGATACGTTTAGCCTAGATGAAAAAGGAACAGAGCATGATGTTTTTTCTCAGGTATTTACTGCACACTAGCACATCCTGTATTAACCACTGTGTCAAAAGTATATTTAGCAACCATGTAATGTGTGCTGCTCACATCCAGAAAGACCAGTGTTTGCACAGCGGCCAGTGAACCAGGTGGTCTTAGTTGACGAGAGCGTAGAGTTCAGGTGTCAGGTCCATGGTGACCCACTGCCTACACTGCGCTGGAAAAAAGAGGATGTGGATATTACCCGCGGCAGGTGAAGAATGTGTGTGAATGTGTGTAGTGCTTATGTCTATGTACAGTATGTATCCATGTTTGTGAGTGAATATTAACATATCTAAAGTGATCATGGGTATATGCTGAAGCAGAGCTACTGAGTCCCACTAAATATTCATTTTATTACTAAAGGAATACTTTTAGTAGTATTAGCATCCGAGATTCTCATTATTTGCTGTTTTAACTACTATGCTTAATGATGAACCTGTCTTTGGTTGCTTTAGACTAATGTTACCTTTCAACTACTATTGTACTTTATGTGCAGCACATAAGGCACCCACAGGTCCAGAAAAATGACACATAGCAATAGCATATATTACACATAGCATATTGTATGTGTAAAGCCTGGTGATACTGTATTGCATCAAATAGTAAAACAGGTCCACCATTAAACATCATAGATATATATTAACTGCTGTTCAGTCCTATTAGCACATTTATTTTTTAAGCCATTATCAGCCTGCCATGTTGATTTTTATAGTTGCCCCTGTCTTAATAGTAACTGCTCAACACTTAAACTTATAATTACAATATGTTTCATTATATAGTCTGGCCATCTATAAAAACCTATTCATTTGATTACTAGGGTTTGAATAGTTCTACTTTTTAATCTATGAAATCTGAAGGCCAAACATCTCATGCTGTCAGTTTTCATTGCTTAATTTACCAAACATTAACTTATTAACCCAGACCTGTTGAAATTCTCTCACATCTAAATTGAATAATAATTCATTTTTATGTAATAAATAATAATTTATAAGAAAATATTTCATGTAATCACAAAACATGTGGAAGCACTCTTGCTTAACATGTTGACTATTTTTAAAATGGCATGCACATCATTAGAATTTACAGAATTGAAAGAAGGTGCAACATTTGGCAGCTGGCAGTACCTAACCAGCTTGTGGATACAAGAAAAAAATATCCTGAAAGGATTACAATAACCTGAGTAAACTGAATAAACCATGTCTAATTGTGGGAAACCTGGTTAAGATGTGCAGCTTAATTTCATTTTAATCTTACTTGGACTGAATCACTGGCGAAGTAGCGCGTGCAATAGTTCTACTCTTGCTTTTGATTCATGGAAATGTGGTCTCTATATTGCACAGTTTATTACTGATTATGTATATTTAGTGTATTAAATCAAATACAATGGTTTTAACTAAACAGATAAACCTTTACTAAATATAATGAGTGTGATGTCCAAACTCTAACAAGCCAACTAATGTATGTTAAATTGACTATTCCTGTTACAGGCCATCACTGCCATATAACTCAGTGTAGTACTTTGTCATCTGTGTCATGGTGTTAGAATAGATTGTGAGATTCACTGCAGCATAACAACTGCCTGTCTCTCTGTCTGGTAGTCTGTCTGCCTACCTGTGTTGCGCCCTCTACCTTACTACTCATTGACTCTAGAAACCTGTCCTACTTTCAGACCTGTCTCTCCTCCCTTCACATCCTCCACTTCTTTCATTCTTTTCCTAAACCTGTCAGCCTCCTGGGAAGTCTCTATCTGGGTCAAAGATGTGCTGAGAATGGAGTTACTAGACTCTGGACACCCCCCATCGATATTCTGCCCACACCCTTTGGAACATCTATTTCAAATGTGACTTTTTCTCACCCCTTGTGCCATTTCTATGCCTGACTTGTCTCCCATCTCTGAATCAGTATGGCTGGCTAGACAATTTCACAAGATCTCTCACACCAAAAGGGACCCCAGAGAGGGACAGCCCGACTCCTTGATCCTCTACTCATTCTGTCTGTAGCCCCTCTGAGGCGCTTATCTAAACTCTGGTCGCTGAGATGTTTCTCTCACTCTAACTGCACCACTGCTGGCTCACGGTGTACTGCACTGGTGGACACACATTGATGCATGGAACATCTCTATGAATTAGTCATTTCCTACTGCTGGGCTCATTCATCAAATTCAGCTTGTCAGACTGTGCCACTCCCTTACTTTCAGACTGTTTGTCTTTTGCTCCCTCTGTCTCTGTCTCGCTCTCTTTTGCTCATTCTTTCCCACACTCACACACACATAGTATAGCATGCTGAACATGCCACACCACAGTGGGTGGCTCATCTTTAGAAATATTGAAATAGTGGAACAGCCAGGGTTCCAGCTGAAAGCACCTTTCATTTTGCCATGCCTTCATCTTGGCATAATTACTCCCCTTTTTTCTGCCCCTGTAGCAGAGTATGTGCAGCAGGGAGCCTTAATTGCCTTAGAAATTCTGGCTTTATTCTATCAAAAAATGACAACCTTTATAAGGCTCCCATTTTAAACATCACACCCATTTACACAACTTTGATTCAGTTTCAGTGATTGTTGATTGTATTTACTAGATAAAAATTTGCATTTTGTTCTGCATACTGAATAATTAATTGTATTATTGATCTTCCACTTTTACAGAATGAAGCCAACCTGAGCAATTTACATGATGTCACTGTTCTTCTCTGTTGCCAGGTATGACATCAGATATGAGAAAGAGGATTTTCTGCTGAGGATAAAGAAAGCAGCAGTCAATGATCAGGGAACTTTCACCTGCCTGGCAGAAAACCGTGTTGGTAAAGTGGAGGCCTCTGCCTACCTTACTGTCAGAGGTGGGTAACAGCATGTGGACTCGCTTGTAGCAAAGCTCATAACCCATCTCTGATACTTTTTGTATCTCCCAGAGCAAGCCACAGGACCATCAACCCTTTATTGCCCATTTTATTGCCCCCCTGCTCGAAGGCTGGGCCTAGCCTCAGCGTTTTTTAATATAGCAGGCTGATGTGGTTGATTGCTCCAGATCTCCAGCTAGGCTCCAGATATGAACAATCTAACCAGCTTTAAGTGAACTGTTATGAGCACTCCTGGGGTGGTCCATTCTCTATCCAGTCCACTTTCAGTCCATATTTATACCCTGGGAGCTAGCTCCTTAAAAGTAATGGTTGGTACTGTAAAACTAAAAAAAAATAAAATAAAAATTATGCAAGCTGCTTTCTGTTTTTTATATTGTCATTTTCACTAGAATGTGATAAAACATGGTTCATACATCTTAAGATAAGTAACACTTGGATACATTTTTAACACCTGTCATTCTGTACATCATAGTCCTCATAACATTAACGTTTCATTCTTTTTTATTATATACACTTGTTCCTTTTATTCATGCATACATTGCTTTATAAATTGAACAGATGTCCTAATCCCATATTAAGATTGGTGTTGGTGTCAATCAAGATGTATTTTGAGCAATATATACCTTATGGTAAACCAGATTTGTGCTTGTTCTTAGGTAACATTTTATTGTTTTAGATAACATATATTATCAAACAAAAAAATAGGTCACCCATTGTCCGCTACACATCTCCAGCCAGGCTCTCCCCATCTCTGTGGCCCCCACAGACACCTCCACACAGTCCCAGTGTTTGCTACTAAAAATATCTGCAATAAGTCATTACTGTTTGATACTTCTAAAAGAAATGAGATTTGTTTCCAACAAAATAACAAATGATAAGGAAAAATAGATTTAAACTGAAGACATTGCTTTAGGTGTTGTATTGTAATATTTACAAAAGCTGTTTGTGATCATTTTATAATTAGTTTAACTGATTAAAGTAAATGTTGAGAGGAAGTGCAACAACAAAGTCTGCCAGACAGTGTAAATTTTGCAGTGATTATTATTTGCAGTTTTAATCTGCTGTATTTAATACATTTTATGTAATCTATAAGACTGCACTGGTCAGAGGACTGTTTTGTTTACATGAGTAGCCTTAACATGCAAACCGATGTAATAACCATATAAATGCTTTATTAACTGATTTACATTATGTGCGGCAGATAAATCTGTTCAACCAGTGATTTTTGCTCTTGGTCACCCTTCCTCCTTAAGAAGGTGCCATTTCCCTGAGGCCCATGCCATCGCCTGCTTTTGGTAACTGAGCCCCATCCTCCCCTCCCCTTGAACTTCATGGGTGGACACCCAACTCCACCTCATTCATTTCTGATTTTCATTCTTTTCTTTTTCTGTCCTTCTGTTCTACTCCTCTGCCTTCCTCCTCTCTCTGTTGTGTGCTAATCTCACCCACACCATTGTTGTGTCACCAGCTCGCCCCGTTGGTAAGTAAGAGCTGATCCCAGTGTGCATGCATTGCTCTCTTTCTGTTTTTGGTCATACACATGTACAGTATGCATATACTGTTGTGGCATTCCACAAATACATTCATCAGACTAATATTTGACATGCATATCTACTTTGCTGCTACTGTATCAACCCCTGACTTACACTGACAGTTATTAATAGAAACAGTTACTTCCTCATTTTTGCCAAATTTGGGTTCACATATTGTTAGTATGCCTCAATTAAAAAATCTGAATAGAGAAGGACATCAAAGCACTCTGCTAATTAGGTTGTATCATAAATCCTGATGTTCTGGCAGCTGGATGAATGGGTTGTGATTGGCAAGGAATAGAATTAAACACATGAAAGTCCCAGTGCATGACCCTTTTAGTTTGCAGCTAGACAGTCCAAGCATTTTTTAAAACTGGTCCTCCTGTAAACTCACTTAGTATGTACTTTATGCAAATGTGTTGCTGTTGTGTTACTGTTTACTTTACCTTTAACCTCAGAGGCACCCCAGTTCGTAGTGCGACCCCGTGACCAGATTGTAGCTCAAGGACGAACGGCTACTTTTCCCTGCGAGACCAGGGGCAAACCTCAGCCCACTGTCTTCTGGCAGCGAGAGGGTAGCCAGGTGAGGATACTGATTCTGCGAAATCTTCTTACACATGTGTGTATGTAGGAATGTGTGCATGATTCATTATTTCTCTTGCAGGCCCTCAGTGGAATACAGACATAAATTGAAAACAGGGTCAAACCAGGGGACAGCACAAGGTGGTTCTGTTCCACATACAGATAATGAAGTGGTCATTTATCGTCAATCTACATCATTCTGACCAGCCAAATCACTTAGCAAGAAATAATGTCATGTGCTGCATTAGAGTCATTAGACATAATGAAATCAGCCTAATGTCTTTTTCTGCCCATCAGCTTAACTGCTTGGGTTGCATAAACTGACGACGCTGATGCCTCAGTTTCATGATCATGACTCCAGGTTTTCACAGCAGGGTTTGTCATTTACTGCTATTAGGAAAGAGACATTGACTGACTTTTCTAACTGAACTGTATGTAACTCTTGATTATGTAAGCATGTTGAAGGTGTGTCTTGAACATAGCAGCTGTACTGGTCAAAGTTAAAATACATAAAATGCAATAAACTCATTCCCCAGTGAGAATATTTTAAGACATTCCACCCTGAAATTTGGCAAGGTAATTATCTAGAGTTGTTCATGCTACTGTCAATGACAGACCTGTCACTGACAGTAGCATGAACAACTGTCTAAACTGAAAAAAATGTTGTTTGTTTATTGTATATTCAAGGGTGAACATATAATGTGAGAAAGACATGAGTCTCAAAATTAGCCCTCAGTGTTAAACACAGATGAGTTTAGCAGAACTTTGTTTGTCTGAACTTTGTCCCATATTGCTTATGTTACTTTCCACATTCACTTCCTGTAGGATCTTCTGTTTCCCAGTCAGCCGACACAAGGAGATAGCCGTGTTTCTGTGTCTGTGAATGGAGAGTTGACCATTTCATCTGTGCAGCGCTCTGATGCAGGATATTATATCTGCCAGGCCCTCACTGTTGCAGGCAGCATCATGGCCAAGGCCCAGCTTGAGGTAGCAGACGGTAAGGCTGTACACACACACACAGAAAATGTTTTTCCTATACAGTGCTAAGTTAAATGATGAGAAATATGTTTTTGCGATCACCAAAGTTCACTAATAACAGTGACATTTAAACATTTTATACCAAACAAACTATTGTTACACCCTTTTAGGTGTGTTATGCATCAGGGAGGTACAATATATGCACAACTAAATTTTCCAAACACTACTGTATGTTGCTGGGCTCAATACACATCTATTAATACATATGTGGTAATAAACAAAAAAACAGCAACAGTTTTGGTATTTTACATGCTAAAGGCCATTTACAAATAGTGTTCAGGATTTGATGTTGGTACGCTTTTTATTGTGGTGCATACTGTGCTTTAAAAGCATACAGAAAAAAATCCCACACTCATAAAACTGCAGTATTGCCCAGACCTAATACAACATTAAACATCCCTGCATATCACTGGCTATTTGTCTTCCCTCATTTATATGGGTGAAGATGCATCTCTATGTTCTATAAGACAGTCACCCACAGTCATTCTTTTTATTATCACATCACAGTGGCAAATCCAAATAATCTGAAAAACTTGAACTGTGTGAAATAAAACTGCCTCCTTGACAGAGAGACACTTAACTTATTTTTTGACAAAGCTTTAATGTCAGCATTAAGTGCTGAGCCGCTGCCAGCTGAGAGCTATTTGTGCTCTTCTCGCCATTTGTTTCTTTGCTTTTTCTCCCACACATTATTAAATTAACATCTGTTGAAGTGTTTTCTGTCACTCAGAGGAGACAGATCAATAACCAAATGTTTGATGTAGAGCACACGGAATAGCACAAATGTCTTTGATTGATGGTTGTAAATAAAATGGAGAGAAGATTGGCTTGATGCCTGGTGGCGTTTTGGAAGCTTGTACAGAGTATTAAGCCTGAAAGATCAGGTCCAAGAGCATCATCCGCTGGATGAAAACCTTCAGAAGGTTCAGATATGGACTTGTGGATGATGTCTTGATGTGTCACAGACAGGCTTATTAATCGTTCAGTTAGACTTGAAACAGTTGTTCTTGCTACAGCATAAAGAAATGATCCTTGAGTAGAATTAGTAAAAAGAGTTCTCCTGATCACTGTGCAGAACAGAAGTCACTGATTGAAAGAAAAGCATTGTATTTGGCTATTTTGGAGCCTTCTAGGGATACAGACAAAGAGTTGAAATGGTTCAGAAATGATTTGGCAATTTTATGACGGTGAAAATTTGGGATACCATTAGAATCTATTATAACCATAATGAATCCAAGCTGACAACAGGTCTTCAAGCAGAGAAAGGCTACACATTTTTCAAAGCTATATTTCGAGCCTGCAGGTGATAAGTAATTGATGCAATGGGTAGAGCATTCGTCTCCCAACCAGAAGGTTAAAGGTTAGAATCTCGGTGCTGGCAGTCCATGTGTTGAAGTGTCCTTGGGCAAGACACTGTACCCCCCCCCCCCAATGCCCCCACGGGGTAAGCGGTTGAGGTGGCGCCGCAGATGGCTGCCATCGGTTCTGTACCAGAAACAAATTCCTTGTGTGTAACATACTTGGTCAATAAAGATGATTATCCTTATCTTTATTTTGGATGAACTTGAACTTGTGTAATTGATTCCTACAGACAATGGGAAAGACTAGAGGCTAATGGTGGCTAATCTTATAATGCTTAATCAAAGGGTACAAACCAGGACCTTAGGAGTTACAGTACCTGTCATTATTTATAGAACTAAATGCTCTGATTATGTTAACTCATCAATAAATGTTTTCAAAATCAGCATTCACTCAATAGCAGGCATATAATTAGTAAATCGGTCTCCCAATATTTCTTTATCATTTCTTCATCTCAGTCTATTATAAAATAATTCAGGTTGCCCTTCATCCACTGGCAATGATAAAAGCAACCTTTTATTATTCCCAGTGTGACTAGGGCTGGAGTATATGATTGCATTTCTTACTGGACTACAGCTAAATCAGGCATTGCAATAAAATACTGTTGTTGGTTCCTAATCATTTTGGATCATGATAATAGTAGATGCAATTTTGTTGTTTTTTTTCTTGAAAATACTATGCTAGACTGTATATCTTTAGCCAGTGCCACCCATCCATCAATTATCTATACTGCTTATTCCTGAATAGGGTCACGGGGGGGCTGAAGCCAATCCTAGCTGAAGTTGGTCGAGAGGCGGGGTCCACCCTGGACAGGTCACCAGTCTATCACAGGGCTGACATGTAGACAAACAACCACACACACTCACTTACTCCTATTGGCAATTTAGATTCGCCCATCAACCTAAGCTGCATTTCTTTGGACTGTGGGAGAAAGTCAGAGTACTCGGAGAGGCTCCATGCAGACACAGGGAGAATATGCAAACTCCCCACAGAAAGGCCTTGGGTCGGCTGGAGCTTGAACCCAGAACCTTCTTGCTGTGAGGCGACAGCACTTCTTTAGCCAGAATAAAGAGGAAAATATTGTAATGTCAGTTCCCTATGAATGACTGATTTGTATTTAATAACACTGTCACAAATCAGTCAGATGACAATAGATTATTGTCGGTAACGCAATATAAATAATATTCATAGTGCCACAGAAATGTAAACAATGCAACCTTTATAAAAATGACATATCTTCTTAGCTTACTTTACATTATTCTGCTCCTACTGTAGTTGTATCTGATTCCTCTCCTGAGTTGCTGTTCCTCATTGTGCTGAAGGGGTTGTGATGAAAGATAAGGCAGGGAGAACCTGCAGTAAACACTTGTGCAAATGGAGACAGACCTGATAACAGCGGAGAGCAGCAGTGAGGAAATTGGAAGTGGGCGATACTTACAAGGACTAGAGATTCAACACTCCAGAAATTACCATTCCAAAGTGTAGAGGCTGTTTTCTGGATGATATAACATGCTTTAAAAAGCTTTAAAAGAGATGTATTGTTGTTCTGCCTGGCATGATAATTGGGAGTTTAGTTGTGTGTGTGTGTTTGTGTGTGTGTGTGTGTTGGTGGGGGCAAAGGGAGAGGAAGTGCAGTCATGAGTCAGAGAAGTGAGAGAGAGGACAGGCATGAATGTGCTGAGAGGTGTTATAAAGAAAAAAAGGTATGGTAATTAGCACCATGGGTGAAGCATCATTAATCCTCACCTAGTAATTAAAGCTCAAAGGTGTGATGCAGTGCCATGGGCACGGCGTGGTACTGAGGAAAAGGATCACAAAACAGTCACTTCCGCTCACAACAAATCAATCAGATTGAATCCTGACATACTGGGCCTGCAATCACTAATGCAATTACTGCAATCACAGATTAACACTCTGTGATAAGGTCATTTTATTTATTTATTTACTGATTTATTTAACTTTTTTTGTTGTTGTTTTTTGTTTTTCTCACAAATCAAGCAAAGTCTAACCAATTAGAATGTAGGTAGTTGTTTCATCTCATGACTATGACATCAAAATTACAGAGCTAGAAAAGGTATTCAAATAATAACGCCTGTTCCTTGGTTATTATCCTTAGCCCTGAAGGACCGCCCACCACCCATCATCCGGCAGGGCCCATCCAACCAAACGCAGGCACTGGGGGGTGTGACTCTACTCAGGTGTCTGGCGTCTGGGGACCCAGAGCCTACAGTCACCTGGCAAAAGAATGGAGCCAGTCTGCTTGGAAAGGACCCGAGGTTTTCCCTGCTTGACCATGGAAGCCTTCAGATCCAGAGTACCAGGGTGGGTTGTAGTACATTAGGCAGTACACAAGAATTAACATGTGGCATTGTACAAGTAGTGGCATACTGGCCTAATGATAATTCCAGCTTATTGCAATTTGGCTCTTAACATCATAGTTTGAGCCTTCATTTGTAGCAATAAAAATGTACTTACCAAAGTAATTGCTGAGATCTGAGACCATGGCACAATTGTAGTCAAGTGACTGACAGGTTGACAGACACATTGCAAACAAGCCTGTATGTTCATTGCCTTAGCAGATACTGTTTATTAGGAAGCAGCTGAGATTTGTTCACAGGTCTCAGAAAGTAACATGGTGAGTACCGTCTCAATGGTAATGATGGCCAAAAGCATGAAAATAATGAAATAAACCAGAATAATGCTGTAACCAACTGATTCTCGGTTAAACTGGTTGATAACAAACATTCCACTGAGGAACAGAATCTCTCACCAAGATTCCCTTTCTTTTTGCCGGACCTGAAGCTACACAAGCAATTACAGCAATCGAGTGCCTCTTGCAACGGTTTTATCAGGACCTGGGGATTAATTAGTAAGAACAAAGGCTGTTAATTAATCTTTAAAAGAATTCTTACCTCAAAAACAGCCATTTTCTAGTCTGCACATGAATCTCCTGTAAATGTTTTCCTGCAAATAATCACACTGTGCAGACATTTCACCTTCTACTAACCTGCAAGTTATACATGTGTACAATGCTGTGTAATATTTCTCCTTCCATGGGAAAGGCTCCTAATTTTATGTCTGTGTTGCACTATTTTAATTGCCTATATTTTACTGCATTGTCAGTATAAATAGTAGTACTATAAATATAAATAAAGTATACATTTTGAAAGGGTTAAAATACTGTATATACTGTAAATAGCTCAGCATATGGATACACTAAATTTCTAAATGTCATATAGATTCTTTTGTTGTTAAATTGTGTGAGAATCTTGGCTTTTTATATAGAAATAAATCTAACTGTCCTTTGAGCTGCAGAAAGACGGTTGTTGAAGCAGTTTTCCTCTTGGTTCTGGATTATGGGGATGTTATATATCAACGTAATGCTGCTTCCACCGTGTAGCTTTTAGATTCAGTCGAACATTCTGCTCTTAGATTTATTACCGGAAGTAATTATAACAGACATTATTGGTTTCTTTATAATGGCTGGTTTTCTTTGTCTGACAGACATCAGAAACACTGGTACATATTTATTTACAAAGCCATCACTGGAAAACTCCTTTTATATTTCATCCCTTCTGCATTGGCATCATGGACTTTATTCCACTTGTTCCTGTGATTACTTGACATGTACCTAAGACCAGAAAAAACTACATTTGGTATCAATGCTCCAGTCTCATGAAATAATTTGCAACATCAGTTAAAAATGAAAACACTTGCACCTTTCTGTAATTTCAACTCTTGACAATGATTTTCTTCCTGGCTGTCATTGTTTTCATTAATGCTTTTTTGTTTATTTCATGTTTATTTTTTCTTTCTGTGACTTTTAGTTATACACAGGGCAGTGCTGTAAATGAGCATATATGCTCAGTCATTCTACCCTTTATAGTAAAGAACATAATAATAATAATAATAATAAAACAGCTACAGTATAAAGAAGGATCCACAAACTGTATGTTGTAGCCTACCCAGAGACACACATACATACACGAACACTCAGACACACATCTAGTGTTTTTTTTATATACATCACATCCTGAATGTGAAAGAGAAATTCTCTCATCTGCCAGCTGATGTCAGATAAATATAATTCAAGCAAGCAAGTGCAGTCAGGTTGCTTTTACAAGATGAATAGTGAGTATTGATTTTTATAAGTTGTTAAAAGCTGCTGTTTGGTCGGAATCTCTGAGGCAGAAGTTAGACTCAAGGACAGGGTCCAGTAAGCGAAATCTAAAGGGGGTAATATAATGGAGGGACTGCAATATACAGTATCCTGTCACAGTGTCAAAGTGCTCTCCCAGTATAGCTCTCTCTCTCTCTTGAGAGATGGTGTAGTTATCAGTGACTCCTCAGGCTTTGCCAATATGAAATAGATTGTCATATCTGATATTTCCTGTGTCAGCACTGAGGATGTTGATGGCCCTGGGAATGGGTAGTGACTATTATTGGAGGAAATCAATTAAGAAAATTAATGTAAGCTCTTACTGAGCTCTTTTTTCATTAGCTGGGGTTAAAGTTTCATCTCATCCACTCTCAGGCTTTTCTTGAGCCAAATGCGGGCCATTGGTGGTTAATGCATTTTTACTGTACTTCTAGCTGTGAACCTCCTTCAAAAGCACTTGTATAAGCCATCTGAGATTGGAGTTATAAAGGTCATTGGATTCAGTCAAATATAGCAATAGAACACAAGGTGAAAATGATGGGACGCGGAGGCAGCAGTCTAAGCAAAGATGCCCAGACTTTCCTCTCCCTAGACACTTCTTTTCCTCTCTCTGACCCAAAGCTCATCATGACCATAGGTAAGAGTCGGAATGTAGATTGACCAGTAAATCAAGAGCTTCGTCTTACAGCTCAGCTCCTTCTTCACCACGACGGACCGGTGCATCGATTGTATTACTGCAGAAGCTGCACCGATCCACCTGTCAATCTCCCGTTCCATCCTTCCCTCACTCGTGAACAAGACTCAAAGATATTTAAACTCTTCCACTTGAGGCAGGAACTCTCCACCAACCTGAAGGGAACAAACCACCCTTTCCCGACTGAGAACCATGCCCTTTGACTTGGAGGACAGGGCTAGTCTCTGTGTCCAGAAATTGGGTTGTTGGGGCCCTTGCCTTCGACTGCTGCCTGATCCACTGTGCACCAGCCCCTTATGAATACTCCTGCAGGTGGTGGGCACACGGAAGGATGTCCCCACATTGCTTGTTCGGGCTAAGCCCGGCCAGGCCCCGTGGGGGCGCCACCAGGTGCTCACATTCGAGCCCCAACCCCAGGCCTGGCTCCAGGGTGGGGCCCCGGTTGTGCCATACAGGGTGACGTCATGGTCCTTGCTCTTAGACTACGTTGCAGGCTGAAGTGGCCCAAATCCGATCTTTTTGCCCAAATGTGACCCATATCCGATTTCCTTATGACAGTGTGAACAGCACAAATCTGATTTTTTTCAAATCCGGCCCAGGCCACTTTCATATCTTTTGGCCCAGGCTACTTTCATATGTGGTCCTAAATCGGATACTTATCCGATGTTTTGCAATGTGACTTCAGTCTGAACGGCCATGTCGCATTTCATGCGATTTTTATGTCATTGAAATGCGACAGACGTCACAATTCTGCGCTGGAGGAGGCGAGGCCATAAGCATTATTTGTGCTCTCCTTCTTCTTGATATTCTTCTTATTATTATTTCTTTATTTCGATTGCACATTAACTGGTACATTGCTACGCACATGCTATCACGAGCTGCATCCATTTTTATTTTCGCAAACACAGTACGTTGCTGCGTCTGACGTCGTGTCCTCTTCTGCGCATGTGGGTCAGTCACCTCAGGGCCGTATACCATTCACACATGAGACAGATGGCAGTCGCATTTAAATGACAGTGTGAACAACAGTGCAAAAAAAATCGAATTTCGGCAAAAAATCCGATCTGAGCATTAAGACCTGCAGTGTGAATGTAGTCTTAGTCTGACCCGTCACCTAGGACCTGTTTGCCTTGGGAGACCCTACCAGGGGCATATAGCCCCCGACAGCATAGCTTTTAGGATTCCTCGGGTACTCAAACCCTCCACCACAATAAGGTGGGGGTTCAAGGAGGGGAGGAAAATGAATGGATGGTGAAAATGATGGTATTTGTCAGCATAGAAAGTGTTTATGGGTAGATTTCATAGACAGAACATCAGTTTACTCATTCATAGTGCTTTATAGAATAAAACAGTTTTTTACTTATTCTTTAAATATTAAAGTTTGGTTGAACAATAATCATAGTGTCATAATCTGTCTTCCATAGCTGTCCGACTCAGGGTTGTACACCTGTGTTGCCACCAGCTCCAGCGGAGAAACATCGTGGAGTGCCTACTTGGATGTCAGAGGTCTGCTTCAATAGAAATAATTTGTAGTAAAAATTAACACTCTCATATGAAGCACAGCAATATCACAATATGCTTTGCTGTGGCAGGTATTCATATTGTCCTTCTTACTTTGTCAGACTCCACTGACCTCATAGAATTCATGTCTCACAATGCAACGGCTCTCCCAGGGCCACCCTCCAAGCCAGAGGTCACCGATGTTACCAAGAGCAGTATCTCATTGTCATGGGAACCAGGGCCGGAGGCAGGGTCCCCAGTGTCCTCCTATGTCATAGAGTCCTTTGGGTATGTCTGTGACCTATGGCCTCAAGCTACGTTTAGTAACCCCGAACTTGCATGGCAGTAACAGATGTGTGTGTTCCTGTGGGTTTTCAAGCCAGGACAGTCTGAAACAAAAGTTGCTAGATGGCTATCTCTTACAGTTGTACAATTAATCTGAGTAAAGAAATGTTGTGGTGGTTTAATTTAAATGGGAACTATTTGACAAGCAAAAGCTCACTTTAAGCAGAAACACATAGTCCCAATGACGCTTCTAGTCGCTAAGAGCACAACACACCAACGTTACCCCAAATCAGCTGTTTCTTTTGTAGTAATGAAAAGATTATTCCCAAATAACTAGATTTATTCTTTCTACAGTCAGTCAGTGAGTAACAGCTGGCAGACAGTAGCAGACCATGTGAAGACCACAGCATTCGCAGTCAAGGATCTACGACCCAATACTGTCTACCTGTTCATCATCAGGGCAGTCAATGCTCACGGGCTTGGGGACCCCAGCCCCATGTCTGAGCCTGTCCGGACACAAGGTAACAGAAATAAAAAATATGTTGTGATAGACTCTAAGTGGTAAGCATCGCTAGTCCACTTAAACGCCTACCCTTCTTTCTCTCGCCAGACATTAGTCCCACAGCACAGGGGGTGGACCATCGTCGCGTGCAGAAGGAGCTGGGGGATGTGGTGGTCAGCATGCATAACCCCGTGGTTCTTAGTTCCACTTCAGTGCAGGTCACATGGACTGTAAGTACTTATAACATTTGAAAAGTAGACAGCAGTTGTTTTACTATTACTTCAGAGCAGCTTTGCAAATCTCATCTGAGCTTGTTTTGGAGCTCTGCACTTGGAATGTCACCATGTTTTGCAGTAGTTGACAGACAGTTATGTGATGGCTATACATTCATAGTCTCAACAGCTGGTACTTCATCAATTCAGAGTGGCTTAATGTAATGCAGGAATCAAGACTAATGTTTCTATTCAGGACAAATACATTACCATTAGGTGCTATATGTATCATTTCTGGAGGCAGTTCCATCCATACAGCCTGCTGCTCTAAGTTAATGACTTGACTTATGGGCTTACGCTAGTCTGCTGTTTCTTGATTGCGAGTACAACAACCATGTACTGTAATACAGCTATTAGACTGACACAGTGAGGATAAATGTGCGTTTGTGGTGCATGATCTGAATGGGTCCACAGTGTTCTCTTTTGAAGGGTTCACAGATGACCCTGCACCATTTGTGGGAAGAGCACTCATTCATTCAAATACAAAGGTTTTTGCATTGACGTGGTTTATGTGCTCGTTTAGAATTTGAAAGTGATTTTCAAAAGGTCTTTATGCCCTGTGTATGTACTTTTTCCATTTTCCATTTTGGATTTCATATTTTATTCAACTTTAATTGAGCAATCGGTTACTCGGTGAAATGTCAGATCACAGTGTCATTTGCCTAGTTGCCTAATTGTGACCATAGCCCTCTTTCCAGATTTTATATCATCCTCAAACATACTGTAATTCTGGCTAAGATAGTCACTGATTCTCTGACTGTATTCACTACTGACTATGCTTTTCTAAGATATTCCTATTAGACTGTCATAAAGCAAAAGCTGCTATCTATGACCTATTCTTAAAAACAAGATTTCTGCAAGAGGTAAATCTAAACATTTAAAGTAAACCACTTGTGTATCTTTGCAATAATATACATTGTGTAAGATCCATCTGTGTTGTTTCATGTTAAAATAACATGACCATACTTAATTTGGCCTAGTATATGCAAAATTTAATCTATTATGCATGATAATGAAAAGACATGGTTTTTATGAATAAGGTGACATTATGAGAAGTTGCCTCACTGAATGCTGGTGCAATGAACAACACAGAGGAGAGTAATTTATTGCAATTCATGGCCTCAACTATAAATTCTATTTCAAGTAACAGGGGATCAAAAATGTGGGGGAGCTAGTTTCTCTGTTTATAAGGCTTTTAGATACACAGATCATTTTGTTAATGCAGACAGAGGCTACACACACACACACACAGAGCGAGAGAGAGAGAGAGATTCATAATATATTTGGACTAGTCTGATGATCAACAGCTGCTTTATATCATTTGTAAAAGCCTTTTCTTGCTTCTTTCCATGTTAACAAGCCATTACTATAGATGCATTTGTTATAGTTTCCTCTTGTCTTGAAATGCAACAACAACGCTGAAAAAGAAAAAAAATATTTTGATTCAGTATTTTGAACCTACACTATGCTGAAGGTCTCTGACTTAGGAGTACTATTCAGCTATGGCACACGCACTCCATCTCTCTTCATATGGTTTCTTGCATTCTCTGCTGCTAATTAAACTGTATGATTAACTAAATGTGCAATGTCACTTACACAAGGTACAAACTGAATGCTGAGTCACAGCTGCAAAGTAGTTTGCACATAGATGCATGATGCCTCTCATATCATTACCATATAACATGTCTTCTTCCCACACACTCTCCTTCGCCTCTCCTCTCAGGTAGAGAATCCATCACAGTTTATTCAAGGCTACCGTGTTCTGTACCGACAAACATCGGGGCTGCCCTCCCCAGGGCCATGGCAGATAGAGGACTTGAAGGTCGCCTCAGAGAGAGACATAACTCTCTCTGGTCTGAAGAAAGGCATTGTCTATGAGATTAAAGTACGGCCATACTTTAATGAGTTTCAGGGTGCAGACAGTGAATCCATGACAGCACGCACCATGGAAGAAGGTAAGTAACAAATTCACAGTTCTGACAAATAAATTTCTCTGCCAACTTTGTGTTGCAAGAAATGTAAGATTAGGTTGCATGAGCAGATGTTCTTGTGTAAATGATTTTCCCAAAATTTGGATTAGAGTCCGCTGGTAATGGCGAGATAGTAAAATAATGGCATTTTGAGTGCACCCACCCACACACACATACCACTGCAGTGCCATGTCCCCTGTGTGTGAAAACAGGTCTCCTAGACAGCACAGTGGGGTACTGTGACAAGCAGAGGCCCCTGTGGGTTGGTGGTCGGAGGGGGAGGATGGAAACTGTCTCCTTTGACATAAGCTCAGCTCTCTCTTTCTGCTTCTCTTTGGACCCCTACTGCCATGTCTGTGTCACACACCAACCAGATATGACCCCACCTTCACTAACACATGCACAGTCTCCACTGAGCTGTACTGGTGATGACAGTTCTGGTGTGCTCCTTCTACCCCTACACTCCAGGTCAATTGTTCACCTCATATACTGATTCTTCTTGGGTTACCTCTTTGTGGAATATATTATTATTTCATATCATTCTTTGTTGCATAACTGCTTTATACAATGAACAACTTCCAGTTTGATTAATCAGTTAACTGTGTTCTTAAGGTATGTTCACATTAGAAAAATGGCTTTTGTGCATGCCTCGCCATTGTTATGCATGTGGTGCGTCATGTAGGTTTCGTGGGGAAGTCTGCTGTGTGCAGCACTGAGTATGAAACTCCAGAGTGGTTGAACTTTGACCTGGGTTGCGCTGACCTCTGTGCACTCAGTCAATCACTGTTTCACCCACAAAGGAAAAGAAAAAGAAAATGCACTCAAAACAGCTTAGTTGAATACCATCCCATGGTCCAGTAAATAGCTTTGTCCAGAGCATTTTCAACCACATCAGCAGATATATTTTACTGGTGGATTTGTTGACATGAAACAGCTGTTACTCTTTTATCCATATCATTCTTGTGGCTTATCTATATTGGCTAATAACTCAGTAGTTGACCCTGAAAATACTGAAAGGGTCCACTAGCCTTTTTGTCAGCTACTGATGTAGACCATGTCATAAGAATGAGCCAGTGGTCCATGAGCCGGAGTTGTTTTGTCATATTAGTACTTCTAATACTGTATTTACAATGTATGCTTAATTAACAAAATTTGTGTAGTGGTGACTGGTTGTGCAGTACATCTGGTCGTACCATGTGGTACATGGCTGTACTGAAAGCAAGTCATGATGAAGCCTTTAATGTAAAAGAAGAGTTTAACACAGCATCTGTGTTTGATAATGAGAGGATCACAATGCAGCTTCTTCTGTCCAGGAAGAGGATAAGAAGATAAGGAGGGACTATGAGCAGGGGTTACAGCTTGTGGAGAGAAAAAACTCACCTTGGAGTCCAATTAAAATGGCCATGCAGACTACCAGAGGTCTGGGTACAGAAAAAAAAAATATTGGCTTGATCTACCAATACTCAGGAGTCCTGAAATGTGCTTCCTTGCAAAATACTTAAAAAAAACTGTTAGTGTTATCCATCAAAGGTAGATTGGGAATATGCCCCTGACTTTGTAAAACCATAAAAGAGGGCATCTTAGGGATTCTGGAGGTCATAACAGCTGATGTTTCCAACTCCATGCAGAGAAAAACTGTGTATCAAGATTAATGAGCCTCATAAGCCTTTGCTGAGTTGTCTGTGAGAGCAACACAGCCAGAGGCAGTGTAGGCTTTGTAGTGTCACCCCCATCACTGTCATTCATAGACTGCTCACGCTTTCCACCACTTCTGATGAAAATTTAAAGGAAATACTATTTTGTGTTAGAGTCCCATACAGCTGGAGCTGTTGGGATGAGAATGTGTTGATTTATTGATTGAAAGGCAGAGGGATCGGTGAAGGTAGTGTAAAAGACAAGGCCATCCTGTATGGAATAAAGTCTCCTGATCTTACTAGATAGCTTATTTGACATCACTCATATATGCTGTATATTATATGGGGACAGGTTTGTTGATATAGAAATGTTTGCCATTTCATTAATTAATTTGCTTGATTGATGCAACCATTTACATAACATGTTATGTCTTCTACTTTAAATCCTGATATCAGCAGCTTAAGTGACTTTGATTTGATTGCACAGCTCTAAGTAAGAAGTAAATCATGCCTCCAGATATTTGAAGCATTAATTGGCTACGTGTCAGTCTCAGTGTCAGTATTAGTCACATTATTAAGAACATACTCTGACGTTTTCTGCAGTTGTGACCATTTACTGTAATATTATCCCAAATCCATACTGGTATTGTAGCCATTATTCATCCTCAGAGGTTGTTTTTCATACATACGGAAATTGCAGAACTACATTTAATGCTTCCTGTCTTCTCCTAATGTACAGTAGGCCTCTGGCTGTCTGGACAAACTCCATCAGTTTGCTGAAACAGCACCAGTGAAATGATGGGCTTACTTGATGGTCCACACATATCGGCTAAACAATAACAACCACAACAATAACAACAACAAAGTTGAAATTATAACATATTTTACAGGTCACTGTACAAGACGACTGCTTGACATCTGCTGCCCTCCTATTTTACTGTTGTACGTTCTCTTAATTTTCATATACACTCTGTAACAGTTGCTGATATTTTGTGGGGTTGTAGGAATTGTATGACTAAGTGTTGATACATAAAATATTTACATATATTACATATATTTGTCTAAATGTGTTTGCAGCAGCAGTCATTATTTTAGGATGTAACACTGTAGTGCTTGACTAAACATCTGAACATTTGAAATAATCACTTAAATGCTGTATAACCCACAAATTAGTTGATTGTGGTTAGAGTCACAATCCAGGACATATAATTCATCCAGCTAGTGTATTAAATTACTCTGTGTCCATGTGTTATTTATACATTTATTTATTTGTGAAAATCCAATCATAAAGTCAAAAGATAAACTTTTACTGGCTAAAGTTGCTCAGTCAGACAGTTTTGTTTACTTGTTTTTGCCTCAGTACTGTAGGTCTAATTAATGATTTAGTGTTGTTAGGCTGGAATTACAGCAGTAATGGACCTCATTACAAAGTGTGAGCCAGGAAACTCCATCATGTAGACAGAACCTTGTTTTTCACAAAATGTTGTGAGGTGCTCCAAATGATTTGTAAAGTCTCCCTTCTGCTGCAGTCTAACTACATTTCTTCTGGTTCATGTTTGTTTTAGCTTTAGTACTTATGTTATTTGTATCCATACCATATGAAATTCAGCATAAATATACTATAGGTATAAGATATTTTCTTTTGTTTATATTGGGCTGACCAGACGTTTTCCTCTCTGAGCATTAGAATCATCACTATATTTTGACAGTGCATCTGCGAGAGTTGGTTTTGCAGTAATTGCTTCTGAAAGTCAATATATTATAAATAGCTGAATATACTATAAACACTTTCAAACTAGGCTGTGTCAATTTGTTAAATAAAATATTAAAAATTAACTGCTCCTCAAACGGTTGATTTAATTTCTTTATATTGCCAGACTGTCACTTATTTTGCTGATGTGCCACATTTTGTAGAGCTTCTCTTTGAAGCACAAGTGAAACCATTCTGGGAGGTTTGTTTAATCCTTCCAACTCAAAACACGATGTTGAGAGCTATCCAGTTGTCAGAAGACTAGCACAGTTCAGTCTTAGAATTGGCATAGACACTCTTTGTTACACTTCTAATATGGCCTGGCTTCAATATATCCACCACTATCCATACACTATACACGTGGCCAGCAGTTGCCTCTATGAGACACTGTGCACACACCCATTACATTTCTCACCAACCAAGTCAGTCTGGAGAAGTCATAGTATCATTGTTTATCCAGGGTTTAAGCCAGAGTATGCAGGTTTGTCTTGTTTGCTGCAGATACTCTCGCTGTCCACCTGCTTTAGCTTCTCTGCCCTGCTGTGCCATTCATTTCCTTGCTCACATGGATCCTCTGCAGATAGCATTATTATTTTGCAGCTCCTTAATTGGGTTCAGAGTAGTTATTTTGTCTACTCAGTCAGAAAATAATGATAGTTTTAATGGAAATCATGAGAAACAATGTGCCCAGTGCGGTTGTTTAGCCCATTCACCGAGGAATGACCTAGATGATTTGTTCAGTTGTGTAGATATGGTATTTGCCTCCTGCTGCCTATAGTCTCTCTAAATCTCTGACCTGTCCATGTAGGTTATCAGGTTTGGTACATTTAAAAAAAATTATCTATTCAAGTGGGAATTTGAATTTGGCACCCTGAGGCACAGTTGCACATTGCTGTTGACAAACTGTCCCAGGACCCTCATTCTAGGACAGGGAGACTGTCCAGATATGCAAAGTTAAATACAGCTACTTTGAAAGCATTTACATGTGTTTGCAATGGTGGTAATCTATTATGAGGGTGATGTTATCTATTGGCCCAGTCATTTTTTCTTGGCAGAGGAAATCCCACTAATATCTAAACTTGCTGCTCTACTTGGAATGGTTATCAGTTGTGCAATTAGTAAAGGGCAATTTGTGTATAACCTATAGTGCCAGTATTATAATGGAATCTTAAACTCAGTATAATGGAAGAATTGAGTGGGTTTTTTAGTCCCTCTGCATTTCAGTTATTTAAAAAAAATCCTTACCATTAAGAAATGAAATTGAGATTAAGTGCTCTGGTAGCCATCTGCCATGCTGGCATAGAAAATACCTTGTTATATGGCCTGCTGTATGAATATGAACTGAGGCAGTGGGTGAGACAAATCCTTCTTTGACAAGATAAAAAATGGGAGACAGTCCTTTGTTTGTTATAAAGACAATATGCTACATCATTTTATTCCCCTTTCTTATGTGTGTCCTTTGTTTCTGTAATATTCTCACCCTTCCTTGTCCCATCAGCACCCAGTGCCCCTCCTCAACAAGTCACAGTGTTGACAGTTGGAAGCCATAACAGCACATCCATCAGTGTGTCATGGGACCCTCCTCCCTCAGACCAACAAAACGGCATCATACAGGAGTACAAGGTAAAGGATCAAAGTCTGCACCTGAGACACTATGCCAAGCTGAATGTTTTGTACTGCACCACCTTACAATTAATTCTGTCTGGTATGTCTGCCTTTGACAGATCTGGTGTTTGGCCAACGAAACTCGGTTTCATGTCAATAAGTCTGTGGATGCAACCATCCGTTCAGTGGTTGTCGGGGGTCTACAAACTGGAGTGCAGTACCATGTGGAGGTGGCTGCAGGCACTAGCGCAGGGGTGGGGGTCAAAAGCAAACCCCAGCTCATCATCTTGGGTAATCCATTCATTCACACACCAAACCTGGAGTCAAATGAAATAACGTCATAAGCGGGGTCTAGGTCTCCATCACAGATTGGGGGTCTGGAAAAATGATTTATCAGTTTGTCACACTTGAAGAAAGAAGATTGCACTTTACAATACAGACATCTACTGAGGAATCAATAGTGGTTCATTAAGTGTAGTGTCTGGTAGCACTGTGCCAAGTACTGTTAGCCATATCAGTAATCCTCTTCAATATGTGGGGAGCTGGTGCTAACAAAGTAGACAGTTTTTATAGGAGCTTATCAGCCTATCACATCTTATAAAAGAGTTAAAGGATGCCAGGAGGATACAAGCCCAGAATCAATATAGAAGCCCAAGCCAGATGTTCTTCATCTGCGACTTTTGACTGATATATAATAGCACCCTTAATGCACAGAGAAAGGGAAACAAAGGCATGTGGATTGAAACTTAATGATGGGGGGGGGGGGGGTGTGAATCTAATTTCACAGCACAGTAGCCGCAACAGAAAATCAAACTGCCAGAGCTGCTCTGTCAATCTCCTGTCTTACAGCTCAAGTTGATAAGTGCACTGCTGAATTGATTAACTCTGCCTACATACTGGATGCTTTTTTTTGGTGGTCCTGTTGTCCATATGACCTGGTGTTTGATGTACAATATCGCATGCTGTCTTGGATTTCTTTATGTTGTGCATATTTTGATCTGAACATGGACCTTTTGTGTTTATTAAAAATATCTATACATTTTTCCCATAATTTAGTTGCCTGATGAATAAATCAGACAAATAAACCCATACCCATCTTTTTTCATTTTTATATACAAATGATTTTAATGCACAGCAATTATTGAAATCCAATCATTTGTTCATTCAATTGTGGTAAAACTGACATTATCTACTTTCCTCTGTGCGTGGGTGTGTGTTTATGTGCGGTGCCCTCAGGTGCAGAGCTGAGGGACGTAATGACGGGATCAGATGGCAACAATAGCATATCAGACGTAGTGAAGCAGCCCGCGTTCATTGCAGGTTTGGGAGGGGCCTGCTGGATTGTCCTCATGGGCTTCAGTGCCTGGCTGTACTGGAGGAGAAAGAAGAGAAAGGGACTCAGCAACTATGCAGGTGCATTGTTCTGTGTCCACACAGAATATCAAGCACAGTAGGTTTCTCTTTCCACTGAAAGCTGAAGTCATCACAGCTGTGACTCCACTTGAGCTGGCTAAAATGCAGAACAAAGGAGATATATTCATTGCAGATGAAACTAGCCCTATTTACTTTAATTCGTTGTGCACTGATGTGCATCAACTGTGCTGAGTTCCATCAGCACTGCACCTCTACACTCTAATACATTCTTGTGAGATAAGTAATTTAACATGTCCCTCTATTATCAGACCATAGCTGGTGATCTTTGCACAGTGATACAAGCTGTGTCTAGGTTTAGGTATGAAATAGTCTTATATCCTTCTGTGAGTCAAATATATAGCTGCGTGCCATTACCATAATGTCTATTGCAGTTTTCATTTTAGGGACTTGGAGTGATGTTATTTCTTAATTCAGTAGTGATTTACATGATTGAGTGCTACTTCTCTAATTCTTTCTCTCAAAACAAATTGAGGAGATTAATTCCAAAACATAAGATTTCCATTTCTCTCTCTTTCTCTCTTGCTCTTTCTTTTTTACAGGAGCCATTAATATACATCTTCTATACACCTTCTCTTTTTAAGATAACCTCTACACTGCAGTTTGTATTTTGAAAGTAATAAATATATAAAAGGATACAGATGCCCCAGGACAAAAGGGGTCAAACATGTCACCTTCATTTGAACTCAGCGTATATTTCTGAAAATGCTGAGATGCATTGGTTTGATATATTACCACTGCAAGTTTCATTAAAATCTGACAGGTGCTGACAGACAGATCAACAAAGGAAAAAAGATGACTTGATCCATATTTTCACAAATTTGGCTGCATCTTTTTGACATTTATATTGTTGACTCACACCACTTTCACTTTGTGCATCTTTTTGAATTGCAGTTCAGTCCTTCACCTTTACTCGTGCAGGTATGCCTTTACATTGTCCATTATGTTTTAAAATATCAGTAATTTAGCTGCCTACTTTCTGACTGCATAATCAATGTATCAGTCATTTACTGTGCATTTTTAGACAAAATTGCAGTTTAATTCTTTTTCCTTGTCCTCCTTTTCTTGACAAGTTACTTTCCAAAGAGACAGAGGCCTGATCAGAAATGGAAGGTGAGAATTTACATTACCTTAAATTAAGAAATCAAGAAACCCCACAGCTAGAGCCTTCCCACTGATATTATAGTACTGCAGTGCTTGCTCTGCCTTCTCAGTGACAAGAGCCCATCGTAATACCTGAAATGAAGATTTCTTTCATGATGAATGGAATTTACATACATCTTCCAGTATTCCTCATGCTTTCTCAAATTAGCTTATGATTTGCACTGATGAAATTATTAATCACTCCATTAAAGTGAGTGCTACCAATTAACACAGGTGGACCGCTGTTTGAGTCACTGGCTCTGTCTCAGTTTATGTGAGGTTGCTGGCAGAGTTGGAGATAGTGGAAGGAGGGGAGTGGTAATGAAGAGGCTGTTTAACCCTTGTACTCAGTTGGGGTCTGTGGGACCCCAATTCATTGTTTGCCTAAAAAAAAAAAAATCTAAAAAATTTTTTTGGCTGAAATTTGAAGCCCTTGGCTCATTTTGTGTGAAGAACACAAATCTGAAGAGATTTTTGATGCAGGACCACCGCAACCCCCCCAAAGGCATTTAGGTTGGCATACAGTACACGACAGTATGATGGGCTGATTGTGGTGATGGATCAGTAGTAACTTGAAACTCCAAAAGATCCACTCCACTCCTACCCAGAACGCCCAAAATGAAGCCTACCTTTGTCTGTCCTGAGTATCAAAGTGTACTGAAACAACAACAGAAAGAGTTGACTCTCATTCCTCATGTTTTCCATCCTTCCTTTTCATCACACCTAAGCAAGCAGATAAGCCCAAAGCCTGAACAATCATTAAAAATAATAGACTAAAAATAAACTTTTTCTTTCCTTGAATGTTTCAATGTGTTTTTCCACACTGATTACGCAAATATGTGTCATCATATTGGAGATGGCATTTGTTTCTAAGTAAATGTATGTAAATTTATGTATATGCTTGTGTATTTTAAAAGGGAAATTGACATAATTGTTTGAACACCTTTGAGCCATCACCCAGTCAGCCGTGAACAATTCCCTTGGCACTCTGCAAATCAGGCTCAGTGGAAAATTCACTGTGTAGCTGCACATTAAGTAAATGCAGACCGGATGCATGAGGGATGTGAATGTTTTGCCGTTATAATAGCAGCTGATATGATATGGTTGTAAACAGGATTTTTTTCTCCCTGAACTGCTGCCTACAACTTCCCTACCTTGAAGTCAAACCCTGTATTCATGACTGTTGTATTTCACTAAGACAAAATGACACAGTAGCTTTCCCAAACCACCTAATGGGCTTTTGCTGCCTCTGTTGCTATGGTGATGGTGCACCAGTGTAGCTGATCTGCCAGAGGCTGTCCATGATCCTCAATTTAAAATGTAAATTTTTGTTGTGCTAAGGCTCTAAAGTGGATTGAGTATGTATTTAGGTCCGCCTTGTATCTTCAGGGAGAGTTAGGAGTGGTGGAGTTAAGGGGCAGCGGAAGTCAGATTTATAGACTTGCCATTTTATGTCTCTTTGTTGTTTATTGTTGTCGGGCTGCTCCACAGGCGAGAATATGCTGAATGAGTTTTCACATCAATTTGTTGTTGATGCAGCAGGAAGAAAATAAGCAATACTGTTACAATGCAGTCTGGACATTTAACTATGTCAGTGGTTCTCTGTTTCCCCTCCCCTCTCTTCTTTTCGTCTCTCTAAAAACATCTCACAGCCGTCCGGGGCTGTTAAAAGCAGGTGACCCAGGCTTTCCCTGGTTAGCTGACTCCTGGCCCTCCACAAGTCTCCCAGCTAATGGAGGCTTAGGGAGTCCAAAGGGTGGCAGCAACTTTGGCAGAGGAGGTAAGAAACAGAAACAGGCTGCTTTAACAATACCTGGATGGACAGTTTTGATGTTCACCCTGTGGGAAGCATAGTGACAGGACATCGCAGATGAACACATAGTAATAAACACAGCACTTAGGGCTCTGGAACTTGTTAATTCGATTTTTCAGGCTTGCTATGTAGCTTAAAAGTGTGGCATTTACATATACTTTTTGTCTCTCATGCCCTGCTATTATGCATTTTTTAACATTGTATAAGACGGAGCCAAGTATATTTTTTTTGTGTTTGTTCTCTGAGCTCACTGGAACCCTAGGGAGCTGATGTATGCATGACAGTAGAGCTGCAGGTTAACTCTGTTTGAGTATTCCTCTTGTGAACACTCCATGAGACTCCCATAGAGTGTTGCATGTTAATTATGGTTGGAGATAATCAACTTTCATTTACATCAAGTCCTTTTGAGACTTGCATTTAACTAATACAAAGTGTCGCAGCAGTAGGGAGTGTTAATGACCTTAAAGATTGTTAATTTCATGTCAATGCACGTGTACCTCTCCTTGCTCCCCCTTTCACTTTCCCTTCCCGCTCTGTCACCCTCCTCCTTTGCATCAGATGTTTTACCGTCCGCAGCAGTGGAGAAGACAGGCACCATGCTGTCTGATGGAGCCATCTACAGTAGTATTGACTTCATGGGGAAGGCAGGCTACAGCAGCCCAGCGCGAGGCAGTCAGCCCACTCCCTATGCCACCACTCAGATACTCCAGTCCAACAGTTTCCACGAGCTGGCTGTGGACAGGCCGGATCCCCGCTGGAAGGCTTCGCTGGCAGCCCAGCAGGAAATAGCGAACCTGGGCTACTCGTTAACTGACAGACACCCTGGCAGTGGTACGAGCCATCTTAAAATGTGCAAGACAGAGCTCAGTTCCTCTTTTTTTCTTCTTTTCTATTTGGGAGTGATGTTTGTACTTTTAATGTATGAGTCTCTGAGGACTGCAGTAGTGCTTGAACTCCCAGTAAAAGCAACTTTGCAATAAAATGACAGGTAATGGGTTTTTTGGTGAAATTCG